TGTGCTGGTTGGGCGACATAACAGGTTACCGCTACTGTTTATTCCAAAAACATTGTGCGTCTTTCGGTATTAATTTATCTCAAAACCCAGCATTTTAATTTCTCAGAAACGATCATTGCGGGAAAATTGTGGGCCGGGACTAAGATTTTTGATGCGATAAAACGATAGTTCGAGGAACGATAGAAGCGGGAAAATGTAACATTATTTTATATGGGATGTATTCGGGACCGAACAAAACGGACGATGCATCCGGGAAAACGATAGTTCCGGGAATGATGGATAGAGGTTTCACTGTATTTGTGTTTGTGAAAACAATTAATATTTTTCAGGAATTTAATTTGTGGAATTAGGGACATTTTGTATATATTTTAAAAAGGAGTTTTATTATTAAACATAAATATACATATATTTTGGTTATGAAAACAGAATTACACAAATTGGATAATCTTATTCAGGGTCCTGATGGTTATCCCAGGAAAGTAAAGGTAGCGGACAATGGTGATGGAACATTTAAAGCTACCTACATTCCTGATGACTGTGGGCGATACAAAGTTAGTGTCAAGTATGGTGGAAAAGAAGTGCCACATTCTCCATTCCAGGTTCAAGCATTTGCAACTGGCAGTGTGAGTAAAATTTATACATATTTTTTTATATTTTATAAAGTTGTCTCTACTTCTTTTGAAGATCAGTGGTTTTGTTTGTGGATTTAGAATTCTCCATTGAAGAGAAAGCAAAGGAATTATTAAGACTTGTCATGTGTACTATGAAGTTAAAAAAACACTAGTATGGTATTTGGACAAATCTTATTGAAACTGATGTGTACAGAAGCTCATTGTGTTCCTAAACTAACATTATAATGGTCAGGATTTTCTCAATCATTTATGTCACCATCTCTTTGTTGGAGGTTAGTACTTGCTTCTTAATTTACTTCTATAATTTAAACTTTTGTTCTCAGAAGTCAGAATGGTCACTTAAAAATACCAAAATAATTCAAAGTATTTGTGAAATATAATATTTCTCCTCAACAGAGTTTTGTAAAATAACTAGTGTGAATCATTTGGAGTACCAGTATGTCATCTGTCATTGTTTAGAATGGCAGTGTTGGTAATGGCAATCAATATGTCTTCATGGCATGGTATGTAAGCACAGACACAATTGTATCTTACCTTTACATCAACATCTTCAGTTACATGATAAAGTTTACAGAACTCTTACAGATAGCAGAGAAAATTAGTTTCAAATAACAATCGTCTGTCTACTCCTAATATAATAGCTGATGTCATTACGCTTGTGTTTAAATAAATGTAACTGTTACATGGTAATACTGTTAAGCAGTTGTTAGTCTTAGGTTTGCATTAGTGACCATAAAACTGTATCTATTACGCATGGCTAACAATTGTTATGAACCAATGAACCACAGCGGCCCCCCCCCCCCCCCCCCCCACCCTCGGTTGGGGGTTGGTCGCAAGGCTAACAACCTTGCACAGTAAAAAGGAAGATGTTTCGAAACCTCAACCTCGGACAGATGGACCTAACAGAAGGACCGAATGGAAGAGGAGAATTGAGGAGGCCATGGACCGAATACGGACCGGAGAGCCATAGAAGAAGAAGAAGAAAACGTGTCCAACAGGCCAGGATAATTATTATGAATGGTGAATAGGTAAGAATATGGCAGGGGATTGTTGTTGCCTGTTTCAGCTTTCTGTCCCTGGAAAGACGTAAGAAAATGACAAAAACCTCAGTCGAGATAGCTCCGAAGTTCAGAGTCCCACTGAAATTTGTATGTCGTGCTTTTAATTGTAAAGTGTCATATGGAAAGTATAGAAGCATGAAATGGAATGAATTGCTTTGCAGGCAGAGAAATGTCAGATCACAGAGGGTATTCAGCAAGCACTGACAAGTGGGGAAGAATACTGCATCACTGTGAACGCCAAGAATGCAGGCTACGGGGCAGTCACGTGCTGTATTCGTTCTACATCAGGAAGGTAAGTTTACCGATACCCGTAAATACAGACTGCGTGTTACCGAGTGTTTAGTATCTTGGATTCTGTTGACATGAAAAGAGAAACTGTCTTGATCAGGATATTGGGCGCTTGCTGAAGTTGAAAAAGTTAATTGTAACTTATAGGCGGCTCAGACTTGAGACTTAAAAACTACTACTCATGAAACAGTCAGGTTTTAAAGGCATCATGACACAATAAAGTCCTAATTATATGATTAAAACAATCCCTTATCATTCTCAGTTATGCCAACTGCATTTTTCAAGTATCCGCAGTTTCTCATGTATACCTAGTTTTGCCAACTCTGTCTACTATCTACTGTTGAAAAATTCTGGGGAAGTATGTGTTCTGGTCACTAAAAATGTTTTGATAATTTGTTTTGTCTCATTCTCAGTCCCCCAAGACAAATCCTAACGATACCACAAAATAGATGTGATTGCTTTCAGAGTTCCACGGTTCATAAAATTGTCATTTTGACATTGTTTAGAAGTGGAGAGACAAGCAGGATGACTTGTATGATGTTATTAAAACCAGATATTTTATTGTGTTTGCTATGGAGGATAAAGAGAAAACTTGGAGATTTTGGTGCGTAATACTTCCCCGTAACACTAACACCAGCACTGTGTGATGTGATGTCTGTGTTACTTGTGCTAAAATAAACGCTATTGGCTAGATGCCAGTTTTTTTGAACCCATGAAGTGTAGCATTCTCTGTCATAACTGGCGCCTTTCTTTTTTAATATCTCTCATGAACAGAATTTTTATGACTAAAAATAGCATAGCACTAGATCATGAAGTTGCTGTGGAGTGAACCTAAGCTTACTTCTAAGCGTAGGAGATTTTTTTCAGGATTTATGTCTTGGTATGTCTGGGTGTTAAGGAAAGTTGAGAGAATGATAAAGGATTTTTACAGATTGTGTGAAAGTACTTTTCTAGTCGCAGGATTCTCTTTTGAATACAAGTTGAAAATTTTTTGACCAGCTGGATAGCCTCAGTATTTGAAGGATTGTCTTCGTTAGTTAGTGTGAAGCTAAGTTGAAGTACTTTAGAATGGAAGCTATTGTAACTATCATTCATGATTGAATTGACAACAGATTCAATTTTGTCTAGATTATGTACTTGTTTTCTCTGAAGAAATTTAAAAACTGCTTTGATATTGTCTAGAAGTATAACAGCATGCGAGTCGACTAATGATGATGTTAAAACCAGCGTATGGGTAGGTCATATCGACTTCGTAATAAGACTAGTTTGTGTATGACAGACCTCCTTTTACCTGCAGACAGACAGAGTACCCTCCTACAGGCTGTACATACATTTCTTTTACCCAGATAATAGACTGTTCAAAAAAAATCTTCACATTACAGATGATGAATTTAAACCTTTTACTTTAAACACCAGAGCACTTACTGAGGAAGTAAAGGTGAAGCTTTGACCATATTACCATGGTGAGATACCGCCTTATATCCACAGACATGCTCAGAATCAAAGTCTGGTTGTACCGCATAATCAGTCACATTACTGACTGAGACAGTGGATAGTGTTCAGAGAACAGTTTCCCACAATGACAACCGAACATTGTCACAAACCTCCAGAACTTATGGGAATAGATTTCATTTTTTTTTTCGTGTCCAGTACACACCATTCAGCATGGTGTGCATTGGTGGTTAGCAGGATTCACGACCCATCAGTACATGGGTTCGATCGGGACCGCGACATTTAACGCTCCTGCTGTGACCCCCCTTTTTGCGAGATGATGAAAGTGGAGCAATTGTTGGGATGCGATGGAGAAACCGGGGAAACCCCGGAGGAAAAAACTGTGTTGCCTAGACCACGGCCTTGCCCAACACAAGTTGTAAATCTGAGCACCGCCGGGAATCGAACCCGGGACCCCGGTATTACAAGCCCAGCATTCTAACCGCTAGACCACCGTGGCGGTTAGAGCTTTCATGAACATGGCAATGAACAGTCAGGCCATTTTTTTGATTAGCTCATTAATTACCAACTGTTGAAGGATGGCTTTGCTGCATGGAGTTGCAGCAGCTGCAAATCTCTGAGACAGACAGATAAAGAGGGAGAAACCCAATTCTGACTGTGAAGACAACTGTAAATTAAATATAGGACACGTCACAGGAACCAGATTTACTTATAAAGTTGAGAATCTCTGTCACTCTACATGGAATTTGCTGGGCAAGTGTAACAGAATATTGCGACATCTGGCAACTGCGCAGGGAAAGCGCAAAGTGCATGGTTTGAAAGATAAATTTGATGTCTTTCAAACCGAAGAGTTTGGAAAGCCCATTTTCATCGCACAGTTGCCAAATGTTGTGATATTTATGTACAAGCATCTAAAGCTAAAGGGAACTGGTTTTAAAAATGGAACTGGTTGCTTGGGAAAAGTTGTACTGATGGGAACAGAGATTCCATCCGTACATTGGCGACGCTGATGGCGATTGTGGTTCTTCCACCATGTGCCAATTAAGTAGCCACTGTGTGTAACAAAGTCAACAACAATTCAGTTCAATTCTTTATTATAATGAGCTGACTGACAGGAGCCAATTACAGGTTAGAAAAGAAATAATGATGACTGTGATAACAACAACAACAACAAGTACAGAGGTGGTAGTACTGTCATTGGACTACTCAGCCATCAGCTGATAACTAATGATGGTGAAACTTAATTACTCCTTTGGATACAGATGATGATGGTGATAAATATTGGGAAACGGTAGTCAGTAGAAAATCTTTGATCTGTTGTGTGATTTATGTGTCTATAGAGACGTGCATAATGACATATATCTTTGAGACCCCCCTTCTTATGTTGCGTAATTGTTCAGATTACATTTGAGTTAAAAAGACCATTAAATCTAGGTTTCATAATATTTTTGCCGTGAAGTAGCGAAAATGTAGATGTATTGTGATTTAAGACCACATTACACAGTGTCTGAGAAGTAGATGAAACTGTACTGAAGACAAGGATTCAGTCATCATTGCCACAATAAACACAGCAGAAGAATGTCTGGAGTAAAAACTCCTGAACTGATGAGTCTTTTATAATACCGAATTAAAAGTTAATGTAAATTCTTATAGGTTTGAATAATTTCTTAAAACCAGGCCGCCACTGGCATAATAAGGGCGACGAGGTATAAAGATTGAGACGACCCCAGGCACTACCAAGATAGCAGCTCCTCGATCCCACGCCATGCTTCTCTTGCCTATTTATAATTCCACCGTTTCCCAGGCTTCCAAGAAATTTCTCTCCGTGTTCCATCGTGTGTGGGTGATTCGTAAGCGCGTTTCATGTGTATATAACGTATTCGTCTTGCTACTTATATACAGTAATGGAAATAATTTTGGTTGCGTTGAAAGTAATATGAAATACGCAGAGCGCGTGGACATACCAGAATTATTACAGAGTTTTATGCGGGACGCGGACTGATTTCAAAAGTCAAAATTCATCACTTTTCTCCGTTGTGTGCCTTTTAAAATTTGGGTGAACCGACCGGTTTGTACGATCACAGGTAATTTAATTGCGCTGAAGCAATTGTACTTGTTATTTCACACAAAATTTTCTGAGAGGATGATTTTGTGCTGTGAACTGGAGAGGACGGGAAGGCTTTGGTCCTGGTCTGTTCCTAGGAATTTTCGCTTGAAAGGAAGATAGTTGCAACGACTCGGAAGACAGTATTTTGATCTCTTAGACCAACTGTTCTGACTTTTGCTATTGGAATTTTCCCGCATTTCCTCAAGACTTGTGCCAGATAATTAAGGTACACTGTCTCTGTGCGTAAGCATCACGACAGAAGGCGTATGATGGAGTTGAGGCATTCTAGATCTCGGCACTAGATGGAGGTGCATAATCAGCGTCTCTTCCGGTATCCGTTGAATAAGAAACTGAAGGAGCCTAGAACCAGTTCGATCGTAGAGAAAAGTTCCTCCCTTGAATGAATTCTAACTCTGGTCGTCCAGCCCATAGTTAATTATTATTTTGGGTTGTTGTGCCTTGTAGTCTGGTAGATACCGACAGACGTTTCCTTGGATCTTACTGCCTCCATCATCAGGGTGATTCAGTCATCTTCATAAGGCCGTTTTGTTAACCGTAGGATGTGGAATCTGTGTTTGTCACACTTATTGTCAGTCTTCGGTTCTGAAGGAATAGTTATTTCTTGGAACCCTGCTACTGAGGTGCCAGTGTCTGTCTATCCCCCAGAGACTATTTGGCCGTTCTTCGTGATACGTTAGAGACTACGCCAACTGTATTTTTCTTATTTTCATGTCTTTTGCATTTCCAACATGGTGGCCTCAAGTGGAGACAACACTAGCGCGAGTAGCCTGAACGTTGGGTCTTTAAATTATGATGGCAGATATTGGTTGAAAAATATGCAGTTTCTGTTGACGTGTTTTTTTTAGGAAAACAGGAAATACCAATATGACGACCACGGAAAAATGTTATTTCAGCGACGATACTCGATAGACTGAAACAACATTCGGCTGAAAGCCCTTCATATAGACGTTGGTTTCTGTATTTCAACTGGAAATCAGCTTAGGACGTGTCATTGTCTAGATTAGGTCTAATAACAACGGATCGTTAAAGAATTGGCAAGGTGAGTTGTTAGACGGATTAATTTGCCTACAATTTCTTGTGCTGTTTTCTTGTTCTTTTTATGACAGTTAGTTGGTAAATCACCCGTATTCAGAAAGTGCCTGGTTTATGCCTCGATCCATGCCAGTTGCCCTTTCCGAGGTTTTCATGGTTGTTTTCAGTCGCCCTCAAAATCTTGAATATCATTGTAACGTAAAAGAATTGCAGACACTTGGATTGCCTTTCCTTTCCCATTTATCGTCATTGCATCACCCCATTATCTCACTTCGTCATCAGGTTATGGTGAATTTGTCATCAATTTAGACTTCCGACTGACTGGTTTAGTAATAGGGCCCTTTGTCATTGTCTCCGCTTAGACTATGGCCCGAGTTCTGACCGTGGCCCCA